AATTTCGAGCTTGCCTCATCCTTTGTTGGTTTGTCCAACAATCTCTTTCGGTTTGTCCGAAAATCCCGAGCTCGGTGTGTCCGGCTCACCCTTTGGTTTGTCCGAAGCCATACTCGCCATCTTCCCCCTCATTTCCACCATCTATTCTCTGATTCTCTCTTGAATTCCAGTGCCACTTGAGTGAGCCGGTGATTGAGAGAGTTTCCCGTAAATCCCCTTCGATTATCCCCGTTTGTTCGTGAGTTCGAGTGCCGCTAGACGCGAGCCGGTGATTGCGATCAGACTTGCTTCCATCCTCTTCCGTGCATACATCATTTTGGTATCAGAGCTTGCTGCTCGAGCCATAGGACGTTCCCCGGGTGAGATCTATCCTTTTATAATTTCTGTTTTATCATTTGTTCGAGTTTCCTTGAAAAAGCCGAAAACAATTTCACCAAAAACATCCCAAATTCTGAGTTTGTGTCGCTTCGATTTGCAGATTGAACCCGAGGAATATTGATCGAGTTTTCCAAACCTAAAACGCAGCTGAATCCGGTGAGATCGCTCCTTGCTTCTCGCTTTGGTTCTAATTTCGTTCTTAACTTCTAGTTTTGTCAGTTTGACATATCATCAGTATTTGACTGTTTTGGTTGTGCTAAACTTTGAATTATTTATCGAGACATATATCAAACTCTTCCTCTTTCAAAGACGAATCCAACCATAGGTCGCTTTGCTTGAAATTTCAATTTTTACACCTCGAAACAATGCTCGTAATCTGACTAAAGAACATCCGACGATTACATCTCATTGCAATCAAACTTAACAACCGATTTCGTGTCTTGCAGGAGATCGATTAGGGTCACGACTTGGAAAGGCTCTTCGGCGTTCTGAATCACAGCCTTCCCCCACGTTTGTATTGTTCCTTTCATTCACTTTGATCATTTCGAAATCTGTTTGCATTTGTGTCATTACCGATCGTATTGTTGAGTGGTTGTTGTTCGTTTCCGAATTGTTCTTTTGGTAAGAGGTACCAAGCACGAATCTGGGTAAATTGTTAGTTTGAGAGACTGTTTGTGTTCCCTAATTGAGCTTAGAAACAGATTGAAAACATCTAAGTACTTCTGAAACTGTTTAGGAACCAAAACGTTACTTGTTGCGTGAAGTGCATGTTTTAGCTTGTACATGACATTGTTGCACGTTGAACGTTTCTGCTATATTTGTTCGGACTTAGTGCTGCACGTTTTGTTACTTGCATATACCGTGGCTTGCTTTCTCAGTATCGATGGCAAACGTATCCAGTGACAGTTCGGTTTATAGGATGATCCAGCAGATTCAAGATCGTCTCACACGACTTGAGGAGGTGAGCGAACCCGTGGAATCTGCTAGGGAGCTAAACAAACAAAGTGAGGGGAAGAGAACCATGCCTAAAAATCTAAAGAGGCCTCACCATGAACCCCTCGATGATGGCCGATTCAAGGATCCATATGACCGAGAATATCGTCGACCAACTCGTGATGAGAGGGCTGATCCAAAGTTCAAACCTTTCGTGTTTACTGGAAAGGAGGAGCCTGAGGTTTATCTTGAGTGGGAGCGCCAAATGGATGCCAATTTCGAATGTTATTCCTTGACGAACCGAAGGAAGATTCAATATGCGGCTGCCCATCTTGCCGAAGATGCCATCACATGGTGGGAACAAGAAGAAAGCAATCGACGCCGTGCACATTATGATCCGGTTTCCACTTGGAAGGAGATGAAAATCCTCATGCGAAAAAGGTATGTCCCTCGACATTGTTCGTGAATTGCAATATAGATTTGATAACATCATGTAGGAAGACAAGACAGTTAAGGGATACTTCGAAGAATTTGAACAGCTTCTCATTTACTTGAAAATCGACGACCACGAAGAAGCTCTCAGGGCACACTTTCTCGATGGTTTGCAAGACCAAATAGCAAGAAAGGTAGAACAAAAGGTCTATCATGACTTACAGGATCTTGTGCATTCGGCGATTAAAATAGAGTAACACATGAACAAAGCACCGACAAGGAGGCACACACAAGCACAAAAACCTCTAAGCAATAGCTTTGTCAAAATCGAAGACAAAGACAAGGCGAAGAATCATGATGCTCGACACAAGGAGGACTCAACCGTATCTTCAAAGGCGGTCACCGCCCTAGGTAACGAAACGCTTTCCTCATATATTAATCATAAACGTGAGGTTATTTGTTCTAAGTGTAGGGACCAAGATCATTTGGCACGAGAATGTCCCAACCAACGAGAAATCATCATCGAGGATAACGGGGAATCAAAGTCCATAGTTGAGGATATGGTAAATCTTGAAGAGACGTATGAGGTTATGTCCAAGAAGGAAATAGAGTACGTGAATGAAGAGAAAGAGGAGCCGTCGAAGATCCCGACCTCGTGATAAAAGAAGTACCCAAAAGTGCTGCGAATGCAAACAGAGAGATGCATGGCGTCAAGAAAGATGCATTCGAAGTCAAGAAAATCATTGAGGACTCCAACAACACGAAAGTGATGGAAAGCAATGAAGAAGCCGATAAATCGGAGAATGTGATAGTAGGCTGATGGCTCGGATTTTATCTGGATTTTACACCGAGTATGCCTCTGGTTTCCAAACGGTTTCCACACATCCTAGGCATATTAGAGCCATTTTAGGTCTCTGGGACTAGGTTTTGACCATTGCAGGAACTCGAGAGTTTTCGGGACGAAACGGAGAAGACAGAAGCATAATTCCCAGATTTTAGGTCTGGAACAGACGGACCCATATGCTGGAACGGACGGACTGGGTGCACAGACCCGACAGACCACAAGACAGCCCTCCGAACCACGAGTCAGAACGGACGTCCTGGAGAACAACGTAGAACGGACGGTCTACATGTCGGAACGGACGGTCTACACGTTTAGAATGGACGGTCTGAAGATGAGAGCGGACGGTCTGACGGAGAACCAACCTAGAACGGACGGACCACTTGACAGACTCCGCCAAAACTACGTCGTTTCGCCAGTCTCTTCGGGTTTTTGAGGGGAAAGGAGTCAAGAGAACCCTAAGTTTGATTGGGGGCCGAAAATAGAGACCTTGGGGGAGAGAAAAGGAGAGCTCTTGGAAGAGAAAGAAGAAGGAGGAAACTCCATTGAAGATTGAAGATTTCTTGAGCATCTCTCTACTCTCTCTATGATTTCTGCACTTTACCCTTGTTTTGCTTTGCTTTTGAACATGGGTTGTGAGTAGTTAGATAGTTATGGGTTGAGGGTGAATCCTCATGTGAGGATGTGTGAACCCACTTGATGAATTTATGTTTATACTTTGATTAGACCTTCATTTCATTCAATGGGTGATTTCTATGCTTATTTTCTATATCCCTCTTTGATTGAATCTCTTTGGAGACTTAGGATTCATGAGTAGATGGATTGCCATTGAATGAGAATGAATGCTTTGGATTGATGAATGGATTTTAATGCTCTCTTGGGATGAAAATCCCTTGAGTTGATTTTAGAGTCTTGGTTTCCATGAAGACATGACACCTTGACTCCTTGATGCGTTCATTCAATAGGGTTGTGATTGAAAGCGAAGAAATTCGGTTCAATCCAACCTAGGATTTTGACAAGAGAGTTCAATGCACTCAAGATTTCATTCCAAGTTACGAAAGTAGATGGAATGTCCTCTTGGGTAGCGGGCATTTAGCTTGAGAGAGCAAATCCCGATCTTTATCTTGGAATCCCCAATTTCAAAGGAAGTATGAAATAGATTCTCAATATTTAGCACATCCCGCATGTTGGTGAACCCCGAAATCCATAACCCTTGGCCATTTGATTTCCCCTTCTTGAATCGTGATTGTCTTTGATTTTACTTTCTCTCATTTAATTTTTTTTGCAACTTTCAAAACCACAAAAACAATCATCCAACTTTATTTTTACCATTTTTCTAGTTTTAGTCGATTCCTAGGTTAACCGCTTAAGTCCTTGTGTTCGACCCCGGTACTACGACATCCATATACTTGCGGATTAGTTGTGTTTCAGGTTACAAATTTAAGACTCGTCACGCAAGTGATCAAGTTTTTGGCGCCGTTGCCGGGGACTTTTTACGGTTTCCATGGCTAGGATAGATTGACTCTAGGTTAGTCTTTCCGGAGTCTTTGATTTTTTTCGGTTTGATTTTTTTGTGTGTTTGTTCACTTCCTTTTTCTTTGTGTGTTTGTGTGATTTTTATTTTTCTCTTGAGTCAATTTTTCCTTATTTATTTTATTTCTTGAATTTTCTGTTTATTATTTTTGCTGTTTGTATTTCCCTGGACTTTTCTAGACTTGTTCTGGATTTTTCGGGACCTCTCTAGACATTTTCAAAATTCCCTGGACTTTTTCGGAGTTATTCTGGACATTTTCTAGACTTTTCTGAATTTTTCTGGATTTTTTCCGATTTTCCTGGACCTTTCCGGGATCGTTCTGGACTTTATGGGTGTCTCTCCCTACTCTCTGCCTTTTTATTCACTTCGATTCACATTCTCTACCTTTTTCTGGACTTGAATTTTTGCAGGTTCCCTTAGTGCATGAGCAAACGTCCTATTCGAAGACAACTCGACCTAGATTTTGAGCTTGCCTTTGACCCGGACATAGACAGAACCGAGAGGGAAATCCGCAGAAAACGAAGAGAG